CTCACACAATGGAAAGGTACCGTTGGGGTTGGCATGCAGGCGTGGTAGAAGAAGCCAAAGGGTAAACAAGATGCATCTTCCCATAAACTCAGATTTACTAAATTTTTTTTTTAAATTTTTTTTTTCAACGTTTATTTATTTTTGGGACAGAGAGAGACAGAGCATGAACGGGGGAGGGGCAAAGAGAGAGGGAGACACAGAATGGGAAACAGGCTCCAGGCTCTGAGCAGTCAGCCCAGAGCCTGACGCGGGGCTCGAACTCACGGACCGCGAGATCGTGACCTGGCTGAAGTCTGACGCTTAACCGACTGCGCCACCCAGGCGCCCCTCAGATTTACTAATCTTGAGGAAAAAAAGTTAATAAAATTTAAGCATTTTTACAGTAAAATATTATGCAACAAATTATAAAGACAATAGTTTAAGGTATACTTTAGATAAATGTAAAGAAAAAATTTTCTTAGCCAAAAGCATATCCCCTCTCTCTTCTCTAGAGAGAGATGTCCTAGATTTTGACCCCTGGAATAGTTATGATTTGGATTAAGAAATAAAATTTGTTAATTCAACTATGCAACTAGAAGGGAATAATATAAAGCTAATAATTGTTGCTACTGGATAGTAAAAATAGGATTTTTAAATAGAATTTTTTGCCTTTTCCAAAGGTTTCTATGCCTATGTATTCCTTTTATGCTAGGAGAGATTAAATCTTTTCAAGGAAAATTATTTTTTCTATTAAAAAGTTTATTTATGTATTTTTTAAAGTTTATTTTTGAGAGAGACAGAGCATGAGAAGGGGAGGGGCAGAGAGATAGGGAGACACAGAATCTGAAGCAGGCTCCAGGCTCTGAGCTGTCAGTACAGAGCCCGATGCGGGGCTTGAACTCACAAACTGTGAGATTACGACCTGAGCTGAAGTCGGAGGCTTAACTGACTGAGCCATCCAGGTGCTTCCCCCCTCCTCAAAATTTTTTAAAGTAAGCTCTACACCCAAAGTGGGACTTGAACTCATGACCCCAAGAACAAGAGTCACATAATCTACCGACTGAGCCAGCCAGGTGCCCCAAGCAGGAAAATTCTTAATTTTTAGATCTGAAAGTCAGTTTCATTGCTGTTAAGTATCTGTAACTATAAAATAAACTGGATTTGTTTTTCTTTACATAGTTTATTAATACAGTTTCAAAATTAAAATAGATTTATCACTTTTATACTTACCTTTTGAAGTTTTGAAGAGTGGAGAAATGACAGCAAAAGCACTCAACAATGAATTCAAGATGTGATTTTTGAATTCCTTTCAACCCTCCTTTGAGAACACAGAGATTGCTCCCCTACAGCTGATTTTTAAATTATCTGATTTTTGAAGTTACCTGTTCAGTTCTTCCCTGATAATTTTTATCACTTCTAAATTTCCTGAACCCAGCAAAATTTCCAAAAGGGTTATGATTATGTGGTGGTGCTTCAAATATTTGTTTTTATTTTTTAAGGATTTTTCCCTCTCCTTTTCAAAATCAAACTTTCCCCAAGTCACAAAAATCATAAAGCTTACTTATAATCATGACAATAAGATCCACCTTCCTCATCTTAATAAGATTTGTCTCACGCCTGTAGTAAACCAGTGATTAACAGTTCAGCAAATGTATTCTTCTAAGGAGTCTGTTCATACTGTCTGACATTTATCATGAACAATTTTCTAGCTGATCAAATATTCATTACATTATTTTAAGTAGCTGCACAGTATTCCACTCAGCATGTTATTTAATTAGCCTTTTAATATTGGACACTTTAAAAACTCTTACAAATTTTTATTATTATAAGCAACACCATAATAAACACATGCATTACTTAAGAGTGTATTTATTAATTCCTTTTACAATATTGAAAAATTAAAATGATGACTTATTCCTTTAAATGTGCTAAAATCTTAAAAATATATATGGATGGTTCATACTCATTTATATATGAGATATAGAAAGAGAGAGGGAAGGAGGAAATGGAAGTAGAGAAAGAGGGCCAGAAGGAAGGAGGGAGGGAGAAGAGATTTTCATGTAACTGAGGAAAAAAATCAACTATATCAACGTCAGCACAAAATTAGTATTTAAACTTTGGGACCTGATATTTAGGTTGATGTTTTCAAGTTCTGGGTGTTTTAGTCCACTTGCTTTTCTTCATTTTGTTTATAAAATTTTAAATGTTTATTCATATGGCTAATGCATTTAAAAGGTTAATATGTATTAATAAATGAGGCACAATTAATGATGAAGTATTCTGTCCCTCAGGTGTGTTAAGTTAGGAAAAAAAAGGCTAAGAACTAGAGATATAAATCATTCATACCACAAGATAGAGGGATAATACCACATGGTTAAAGTCAGGAAACATTTACCACACACAAGAGGTCTGGCTCATTTTTAACCACGTACAGGGAGGGATTAGCTGGGAGAGAACTGGGGTGGTGAAATGGCATAAATAAAAGCAAACAGAAAAACGGATGGGTCAAGACTAGTTCACCTAAAGAAGAGTTGGGGCAATATCATGATGCAAAAGCTAACAAGTTTGAATTTTACCTTATAAACAAAAGCAGTGTTTTAGGAAGATTAAGTTAGTGGGATAGATACCATAGCGAATGAAACAATTCCAGGCAAAGAAATGTTTCAGCTAAGATGCTACAGAACAGGTGATACATCATTAAATACTTAATTATGACATCAATTCCAGAATGGAGGCATCAAATGGCGGTGATTTGTTTGGGTAAATGACAAACATGAGTAAGTTTAGTGTCTCCTGGAGCTGTTAGCTTTGACAGGCTAAACTGATCAAGTGGAAAACAAATTCAGAGCCATCAAAGCACAATTTGTAAAAATCTGATCATCACACATGTACCTATTAACCAACTATTTAAACATTTTGTTTAAAATGTTTAAACAATAGTGTCTGATGGAGGTTGTAATCTTGAGTCAGATTTATAAAAATACTGTTCTACCTACAAAGGTCAAATAGGCTGAGACGCATACTGCTGTCAAAGTTCTCTGAAGGAAGTATGAAAAATTAAATCTGTAGAACAAGCTAAAAGCTGAAAACAGCCATAAGATCTAGCCCTTACAGACTCTTCGATCCCATGAATTATGAGTTCCCTTCTTGTGTATTTAATCGTAGCCAACCAGATCTCCTTGCTGTTTCTTGTACACACCAAAAGTGGTTCAGCCTGAAGATCTTTGAAGTTGTTATTTCACCTGCCCGAAAGGCTCTTTTCCCAGATACCTAATAATTTGCTCATCGTTTTAAAAATCTTTGTCTAAATAATCATTTGTCAAGCATTTTCTCTCTACGGTATTTAAAAACTTCTCTCTCCTGTCTTCCAAACACCTTTATTCCATCCTTTCCACCTCCTTTGCATTATTTTTCTACAAAGTACTACCATCTGACACACCACATATAGTACCTATCAATTTTTTCGTCTAGTTTATTACTCACATCTCACTTCCAAGATCATACACTCTATGAGGGCAGAAATTTGTTTGTTTTGTTCTAGATCCTCAGCATTTGAGTAGAATAAATTTGTACCTCTCTTTATAAATGTTTCAAATCTATTTTTATTTTATTATTATTTTTAATTTTTTAATGTTTTATTTATTTTTGAGACAGAGACAGAGCATGAGCAGGGGAGGGGCAGAGAGAGAGGGAGATCTCTCTGAAGCAGAATCTGAAGCAGGCTCCAGGCTCTGAGCGGTCAGCACAGAGCCTGATGCGGGGCTTGAACTCACAAACTGCGAGATCATGACCTGAGGTGAAGTCAGACGCTTAACCGACTGAACCACCCAGGCACCCCTCAAATCTATTTTTAATGCTCCCTGTCAAACATCTGCATTTTCACACTGCCACAAAAGACATTCATGAGAATATAAACAAATTAACATAAAAGTCTGCATTGACCATGTTAAAATTTATAAATTCTCTTAAGAAATCATGTACTTATTCAACTTTCTTGACTTACACGGTAGGACAATAAATACCCTTCTTCATTGCTTGCTTCAGGCTAAAACAGCATTTTTAATATTGAGGACATGGAAAGTTAAAAAAATTCTGTGATTTACTATCATATGCATTAAGTCCAAAAAGAAATAGTTTTAGTGGTATAATAAAAACTTATATTCCTGAAATGGTATAATACAAGCATTCCCCAAAATTATAAAATAATGAGATGCGGAAATTAGCAAACTTTAGGGTGATTCAGAATTTCTATCACTTCCTAAAGATATTCCTTAATAGAATAATCCATGGTAGTAAGTGGTTAAATTATAAAACAAAGAGAATACCTTTGAATAACAAGTTAATCAAACTGAGTAGCATTTTGTGTAAATAGGTAGCTAAAAATTTCTCAAACAAAATCTAATCCTATGGCATATGATAAATACAAACAATAATAACATTTTCCAGGCGGTTTACATTTCTTCAAAACACAGAAGTTCAATTGCAAGAATGTAATACCAGATTATTCAAAGTTCCACAGAATTAAGGGAGAACTGTAATCATCAGTATGCTAATTTCAGTATATTACTCATAAAGTTTTTACATGAATTCAATGTATTAGTAATCAAGAAATAGACCCAAATAGAAATTATAAATGTTGAATTTAATTTCAGTAAAATAAAGACAAAAAAAAAAAAAAAAAGCAAGTAATTTGTCACCTCACACAGTAACTTTAACATTAGAGGTTTAAACTTATTATTTATTTTGTCAATTATTTTTTTCTTCATATATAGCTTTCATATATAGCTTTAAAAAAAGACATCAGAAATTTGTGAGATATATTTATAAATAAATAAGGCAAGAATATATACTCTCACATTTCTGGTGTGAGTTAATTCTGCATTAAAGGGGCTCAAGCTATTAATAAGACAGAAATTATAAGAAATCCTTTGATAACAGATGAAAATAAAAAATTTTAGCTGGAAATGATGATGGTCTCATTTCTTCTTCTAGCTATGCAAATAGTATGTCTAAATACTTACTAGGACCAAATCTATCTGAAAAGTTTGGAACATTAATTTTTCTTTTTGTTAATACTCAATGAGAAACAACACTGAGAATAAAACTTTTTCGAAGAATAAGGGATAGTAATATCCACCTGTAAAAGGAAAAAAAATTGATTTAGAATGTCAATTTCTAAATTGATAAATCATTAACAGAGATCACAGTTTATGCAAGCATAATCTTGCTAATCCAATAGAGCTAACCTGGGCATATACCCATAATGACACTTAGTGGCTTAAAAACAACATGTAATTCTCTAACAACCAAAAGGATATATAATTGATTGAAGAAAATCTTCATTGTTGAGTACAGAATTAAGTCTAAGGCCAAATTTTCATATTTACTATCACATATCAATATGTGTGACCTTAAGAGATCTGCCTTTAAATACAGGATGTGAACTGAGTTATTCAACTATTACAATATTCCTCTTGCTACCTCCTGAATACTTGCCTGAGTCCTCTGAGTTAGCTCCAAACAAACTCAATCCATATTCCAAGTAACAGATTTAAGATGCTCAATATTGAAATTATTTGGCATCAACTTAAAAAGAAACCTGAATGAAAGAAGATGAGCATTTTTTTCCCAAAGATGATGGAAAAAATGAAAACACACACCTGTATATACTTATTTTTTCTTTGTAAAAATAGTAAAATTAAGGTTAACATTAAAAGGTACAACTTTTATTTTACTATTTGCTTTCAATGTGTTCAAAATTGCACAAAGATAAAGTGTATTAACTCGTACAAATACAACTTCCAGTTCTGAATTACCTAAATGTGTGTGTTTCATTAGGTACTGACAGGCTACTTCCTCTTAAGAGATTGGAAAGAAGCTGAATGCTGTTATGATAAATTTCATTATAACAGTTTTTCTATAGTTTCTCACTTTACCAATATTTTCATTTTCCTTTAATCTATTCTCAGGATTAAAACAAGTTTTCATTTAGCAGTAATAGCCCCAAGTGTTCCTTCTTCACATCTGGAGGACCTAGATATAAAAATTCACCTAGTAAATGTAAAATCCAGGTTTTCTCTCTTTCATTTAGAAGGCAGATTAAACATAATATACTTAGAAAAACAAAAACAGGAAAAAAGGTATCTAATTCCTGAGTTATTCTGGAAAATAGTGGACAAACTTTGTAATTCATTTAATAAATATTTCTAAGAATCTAGATGTTAAATCTTGGAGTACTTTCAGTGGAATCAAAAGTTATATTTGTTAGTCTTTCATAAAATAGTTGAAATGAAATAAAGGAAAAGAGGTGAACAGCTTGATGAATGATTTTTCAAAGCACCAAGTCAATAGTGCTTAATTGTACTTAATGTAAAAGCTGGCATTTAATTCTACCTACCGTATATATGGTATACTGCTTCCTAATTTGGGGAAAAAAATTTTTGCTGAGGAAAAATTGTTTTTAAAAATGAGAGCTTTGCCTTACATATTTTCTTTACCTTCACATTAGACTTTAAAAAGAAGATCCTTGATTACAATTCCTTAAATTACATCTGAAGTACTTTTAGGGTTTCTAAAAGACAATAATAATTGGAAATGATTTGTTAAGAAGTGCTTTTATTTTGTAGATTTCCTGTTTGGCTGCAATTGAAAAGGGTAAGCTATTCCTTGTAGAAAAGAAGACCAAAAGTGTGATATGCTACACAAAAACACCTGTCTTGTCCTGAACATTAATTTTTAGTTTAATGACTTAATAAAACAATAAATAAGAAACAGAAGGTAAAGAAAACATTTTTCTTTAAATCTTAAATTAAAAATTTCAACTGTTACATCTATAAAATTAGTAACTATAATAATTTTTACTTTTACTGTGAAGTTAAATATTGACTATAAAAAAGCAAACAAAGTCACATTTTCAACTTGTCAAAAATCTTCAGCTAAGGATTTAATAGAAACAAGATAAAACAATGATAGTGTAAAGTCAGAAGGCATAGGATTAAGATTCTAATCTGTCATGTAGGGCAAATTACCTAATTTGAATTTGTTTCCTGAGCCACCCAAAAAATAGGCTGGTCATCTGTAAGGCCTTTCCTACCTTTGAGTTTATGATTAAGAGCATTTTGAGACCCAGGATTTCAGGTATTTAATTCACACGTTTTGAAATTTCCCCCTTCTAACGAAATATTTAGAAACATTACTAAAAATTGTCTTGTAAGTTCTGTTCAGAATGTATATTTTATAATGCACACTTATCTGTGAAATAAGCAAATATTTTTAAACTTCATTTTACTGGAGAAACAAAGGAAAAATGAGTATTTAAAAATTTCAGTATTTACAATGAATATAAATATGCATTAAAGTAAATTTGGTTCTGTATAAGCTCTTTCAATAAACTCTTGATGGCATTCAACACTATTATTAAATTGCACTTACATTATTTTTTTTTACAGATTTTAAGTAATCTCTACACGCAATGTGGTACTTGAACTTACAATTCCGAGAGCAAGCGTTACACACTCTACTGACTGAGCCAGCCAGGCACCCCACAACCATGTTAATACAAATACATCTTAAAAGTTACTACTTATTTTTATAGAATCATACTAAAGATAACAAGATTCTCAATAATACTGAAAATACATTATCAATAAAACTGAAGATATATCAATGATGTTAATACATATTAAGACATATTAAAATATAAAACATATTAGACTGTAGAACATGGCCAGCCTTACTTCAGCAGCACAGTTAATACTGGAGATAATTTTAGAATCTTAACGCCAATATTTACGTGCTGCTAAGGCACTGCTGACATCACTATCATAAGAGCTATGAATAAAAAGAAATATATTTTCTTCAGAAGATCAGATCCTTGTATTTTTGAGGCAGCACAATATGGCCTGCACCTTTTCAAAATCCACAAACCATTATGTGCTGCTACTTTACTCCAAGGTTTTGTTTTTTAAACACACATTAGCACCTGAAGATACAAAAAATTTTTTTCTTTTAGAAGAGAATACATTAAGAAACCAATATTTAAAGATTATAACGGACAAAGTATACATAAATAGCTATTTCTTAGAAGCTTTTAAGTAGAATAGTAAAATTTATTTCTACATCAAATGTTTAAGGAAAGCCTACTACGTGCTAAGCATATTGCTATAGGTTAGGAACACAAAGATGTGTAATATGAGGAAAAGCTAAGCATTTCCTCCCCCTTTGTCAACTTAATAAGCCAATAAAGTTAAATATTTAATCAAATTTTTGAATGTATTAAATATATAAAAGTTTTTTTTCCTTTTATAAACACAAAGTGAATTCATAAAATTTAGTCTTTACCTTGGTAAAAGCAAAATTTACAGACAGCAGTTCATTCCTTGCGGTATGCCTTTCTAAAGACATCTTCCATCCAGTAGGTAAGACTTCATGTCAAAGGAAAAAAAAGAAATGACATATAAGAGCTCAGTTTCAATACACTTAAGCTAAGAAAATGCACATGTACTTTTAAAGGAAAAGATGATGTCACATGAAATGTTTTAACGCTAAATAAAGTGAAAATATACAAAAGACTCAAGTGAATTTTCTAATTTATCTTAAAAAAATCCAAGTATTATCTTACCCTTAACATTTATCCCTTTTTTAGAATAGTTACTCTGTTAAAAGTTGGACATCACTTTACATAAGAATTAAAGATTATGAAGCCTTTGGAAGATGAATTAACTTTGTACCCAGAGATGAGAAATAAAATTGGAATCCTGTGGCTCTGGATCTTCCTTTATCCTATCGGCCTCCCCTCTTCACCAGGCATGGAAATACACTCCTGAACAGTTTGCACTTACTCAGATGTAGGAATGTAATAACCTCTTTCTCTAAAAGATACAAGGAAACTGCCACCACTCTAGTTTAAAGCCTCGATAACCTTTTGCTCCAGTTTTCTCATCATTAAAATGGCTATGTTACAATGACTTGAGAAATACGTAATACATATTTGTATTTACCAACTACATTTGGAACAGTTCTTTAGGCTACCCTTTCCCACTTTCCAAACAAAAATGTAAACATGGTATTTTCAAATATACAAAATTTATGTACTTTTTTCATTTAACAAATATCTTAATACCTACTATGTGCAAGGCACTGTCCCAATTGTTACACTAGTGAGTATACGGACACAATTCCTTCTCAGAATTTAAAATCATTTAAGGGGCACCTGGGTGGCTCAGTCAGTTAAGCGTCTGACTTCGGCTCAGGTCAACCACGTCGGGCTCTGTGCTGACAGATCAGAGCCTGGAGCCTGCTTCAGATTCTATGTCTCCCTCTCTCTGACCCTCCCCCGTTCATGCTCTGTCTCGCTCTGTCTCAAAAAGAATACTGAGCAGGCTCCACACTGTCAGTGCAGAGGCCTGATGTGGAGCTCAAACTCAGTAACTGTGAGATCATGACATGAGCAGAGATCAGGAGTCAGATGCTTAACCAACCAACCCACCCAGGTACCCTAATAAATCTTTTTTTTCTTTTAAAAACTTCACAGTAATAATGTCTTATTATTTTTAGAGTATTGCGGTTAAATACATGACATAAATTTTACCATTTTAAAGGGTACAGTCCTGTGGCATTAAGTCTACTTACACTGTTGTATAACTATCACCACCTTCCATCTCCATAACCTTTACATTTACACCAACTGACACTGGAGCCACTAAACAGTGCCCATGCTTCCATTCCCTCAGCCCCCGGACACCACTAGTCTACTTTATCTTGATGAATTTGCCTATTTCAGGTACCTTATATAAATGGAATCATGTAACATTTATTTTTTGTGTGTCTGGCTTTTACATAGGGTTAACTTTTTCAAAGTTCATCCATGTTGCTGCATATTTTACACTATCTTTCCTTTTCACAGCTGAGTAGTATTCGATTGTATGTATATACATTTTGTCCATCTATGAACATTTAAGTTGTTTTGATCTGTTATTATGATTAATTGCTGCTATAAACATGGTATACAAATATCTGCTTGAGTCCTGCTTTCATTTCTTTTTGGTATAAACCCCAAAGCAGTATAACTGGATCATATGGTATTTAATTCTATTTTCATTTTTTTGAAAAACTGCCATACTTTCTTTCTTAGATAGTGGCTATACCATTTTACACTTCCATCAGCAAAGCAAAAGGATTCCAATTTCTCCCCATCCTTGCCAACACTTACTATTTTTTTCTTGTTAAAAAATAATAGCCATCCTTGGGGATGTGAGGTGGTATCTTGGTATAGTTTTGACTTTCATTTCCCTAATGATTAGTCATTTGAGCATGTCAGGCTTATTGACCATTTGTATATCTTCTTTAGTGAAATATGTATTCAAGTCCTTTACTCATTTTTTAACTGGGTTTTTATTTTGTTGTTGTGGTTGAGTTGTAAGAGTTTTTTATAGATTCTGGAGATCAGTCCTGTATCGGATATATGATTTGCAAATATTTTCTCCCATTCTGTAGGTTGCCTTTTCACTCTGCTGATAGTGTCCTGTGATGCATAAAAAATCTTAAATTTTGATGGGAGTCCGATTTACCTTTTTGTTGTTGTTGCTGCCTGTGCTTTGGGTTTGCTATCCACGAAATCATGATCAAGACTGTCATGAAGTCGTCCCCCTATGTTTTCTTCTAAGAGTTTTATAGTTTTAGTTCTTACATTTAGGTCTTTGACCCATTTTAATTTTTACATATAGTATGAAGTATCAATTTCATTCTTTTATATATTGATATTCAGTTTTCCCAAAATGATTTGTTGAAGACTGTCCTTTTTCCATTGAATAGTCTTTTTTTTTTTTTTTTTTTTTTTAACCGTAAGTTCTAAATGGGGATTAAACCTGGGTGGCTCAGTCAGTTAAGCATCTTCGCTTCAGCTCAGGTCGTGATCTCCTGGTTGGTGGGTTTGGGACCCGCCTCAGGCTCTGTGCTGACAGGTAGGGCCTGGAGCCTGCTTCATATTTGGTGTCTCCCTCTCTCTAGGTCTCAAGAAAAAAAGGCGGGGGGGGGGTATATTTTAAACTAAAAATTTCTTTGAATCTATAGACTGTTCCCACTGTCACATAATAGAAATATTCAGAGGTTAATACATGCCATGAAAATATTTCTATTTTGTTTAGACATAACCATTAAGTACCAGCACATTGCTTTCAATTTTTCAAGTACTTAATTTTACTTTTAATCTGGCATCAACACAATTTGTAATAATTACTGTCTTCAAGTATGCTTCAAATTCTGCATGTAAACCTCTAAGGAGCTGACTACATATAGCCCTTGGGTCACAGAATGACTATGCTTTGTCAGGACAATGGAATACTACACTTGTGGTATGAAATGTTGATACTACACCTGGAGAAATTTTGAAATTAGCCATGCTTTGGTATCTTTAAGAATAGGCCTAAATTATGGGGTCTAACTAAACTTCATGACAATTTCATTAAACATAATAATTTCTTACTATCCTATAAAGAAAGTGAAAGTTTTATGAAATGTCTAAATATATAAAATCCACAAACATTAAAAATGTTTTTAACTTGTTTTTTGGCTACAGATGCTTAAAAACAAAACAAAACAAAAAACCAGATACCTTTAAACTTCAATGTTGAGAACAGGCAGGTAATGAAATAGTATTCAGATAAAATCCAAGAAGTCTGTTTTATAATCCATAAAAACCTAGCTTTTGAGTAAAGTATAAAACTGTAGTATGTCTATACTTGATTTTTTTTTTCTGATTAAGAAAGTAATGATTATTTAGAAATTGTGTGTGAGGTGGACTTCAATCTACACAACTTATTCCAGAAAAGTCAGGCTACACACACACACCCACCCACCCCCACACACATATCAAGGTCTGTATAATCAGGACCTATCCAGTATTTCCTACTTCTCTCCAATTAAAAGCCTCTACCATTCCAGTTAAAAGGTCTCTTTTAAGAGACATAAACCAATGTAGTATATAGACTTTTCTGAAATAATCAAGAATTTTAAGAGAAACTAGACATTATTACAATAAGATTATTATTCATTGTGTTATTCTAAGTATGGGTGGTTACATATTTAGCAAAAAAGGGTCCCTATAAGTTAGAGAAGCATTTAAGTATTTATGAGTGGACAAAAACTGGTCAGGCATGTGCTGTGGCCATCAGGTAAGTAGCAAGTGGAAGAAAATTATTTATCATGCTTGTAGTCAATTGTTTTCCAGTTCTTTCCTCTCCTAAACTGTATATTCCTTTCTCCTCTCTAAATCTTCACTGAAGCTACTGCTGGAGGCTAAAATACTCACTAATCCCCTTTCAATTTATTCCTACTTTAGAGGACAATTCAAGTCTATATTTTCCAGTGTAATCTTCAGCCTTCCTAGCTGATATTGAATTGCACCAGTTTTAAAAACTTTTGAATACAGGAAATTATTCTTATTGAGTACTATGCTGAGCAAATAACCGGCTTAATTATTTCATAACTATCATCCATTCAAACTGGACTAGCTACGTAGCAATGCTTCCTGGTATGGCCCATGCCATTTCTCTACTTATATACAAACGTTATATAGTGCCTCCATCACTTAAACTGTGCTTTCAAGTTTGCTGGCTAAAAGCAAAGTCACATTCCCTAACTACATATGGAAAGAGCCTTACTGGTTAGATGCAGATCTAATTAAACAAACAAAAAAAAGAGAGCTATTAAAAAAATTAGAAAACAGAACCATTCAACTCTTGTCCTTTTTCTTTATAAAAGTTTTACTTCCAAGCCCCGTGGCTTATACTCTGGCCTATGAGCTCTTGATTATCTTTATGATTTACCACCTTTTAAGTATGTATCAACTTTTCATTTTTATGATCTTTTAAGAAAACAATACTCATTTTGAAAGGTGAGACAATAAATCAATGTTTTAAGAAGTCAGCTTGAACATTAATCTGAGTAAATAGGAATGTTTAAGTACATTAAATTAGCTTTTTTCATATTAGATACCAGATTTATTTTTTTAAATGTTCCTTTATTTTGAGAGAGAGAGAGAAAGTGGGGGGGGGCGGAGGGGGAGAGGGGGGAGAGAGGGGAGAGGGAGGGAGAGAGAGAGGGAGGGAGAGAGAGAGGGAGGGAGAGAGAGAGGGAGAGAGAGAGAGAG